AACTCTGTAACTCGTCACTGACAGGATCAGGATTGATGACTGATGGGGTCGAATGATAACTTCATAGCTCGTCACTGACAGTGACAGGGTCAGCGTTGATGAGGTCGAATAATTACTTCATAGCTTGTCACTAACTGGATCAGCATTACATGACTAACGAGGTCTCTTACTATTACACCAAGACAAAGGTCAGTTATTGTTAATAACTATTAATATCGAAGAAATTAGCTAACAAATTATCGAGTACAAATCGGTGACCGACATCTGGGAACCTCTCATTCCGGCCTCCCACAGGTATCACATCACATGGTCCAATCAGTGACGTATCATTTGTGATATAATCCATATTATAACCATCCTAACAGCCGGACAATCAAGAACCTGGGTAGGGTTCACAATTCACATGACAGTTTAGTAAGTAGCTGTGTATTATGAAGTATATTAAGAAGTGTTTGAGCTCTCGGCATGTGTTCACATAACTATCCTCAGTTAATGGTTGTGGTAAATTATTTCGAGAAAACCTACCTTGGTACAAATGCCTTCTTCACAACTATTCAATATAATAATTACTATATTTATAAGGCGAACATTTTGTTGAAAACCAGACGTTTCTATCTCTTTTACTTCCGAAGTTAGGCCCCTAACGGTAAGGTTTCCTGGGAATGCTTCTCGCAACCACAGATCGGCGAGATGCGAAGGATTGACATCGTGAATCAACATATTGTTCTGATATCATTCCTTAGAACTTGAGTATCAGTAATTACTATAAGAGTAATTAATCATCATCCAAATTAGACAGCAGCGTTTTTGAGCTTTTTATTTTATTTCAAAAGCATTCCAAGTAATTTATATAAGCGCATAGGCATAGCCATATTGATATATTTATTCTGAATACATTGTAAAAGATTTGATCTCTATTCACAATTCATGAAATTTGAAGGAAATTACTGCAATGCGCGCAATTAGGGAGCAGTGGCGTAACGTTGCCTGTTGGTTGGGCGGGCGCGCGGGGGGTGCCGGGGCCGCCGTGGGGAATATGGGCGCACCCTTGTGTAGGGCGACGGGCCCCGTCCATTTTTATGGTGCCGGGGGGGGTTGTGTGCATTTGGTTGTTTTGTTTTTGTTTGTGTGGTGGCGGGGTGGCCGTAGTGATAGTGGTTGGAAGCAGAGTATGGGGTTGGTAGTGGGGTGAGAGGTTTGGTTTATATAGGGGTAGGGGTTAAGGGAGAAGGGGGGCGGGAAGCTTGGTTAAAAATCTCTAAGAGGAGAAGATGTGATTTCAATGTTGCATAGACGGGGCTATGGTGTTTTTTGGATGAGGTATATTAAGTGGGTTTGAGGGTGTGTTCAGTTATTGTTACAAGCGATGGAATGGGGACGTATTGTTGGGAGGAAGAGTGGAATTGATATATTAGGTCGCGGCACAGGCGGTCGATGGGGAATGTGTTGTTTGGCTGGGTATCGGGAAAATGTGCCTGGTATAGGGTCCAATGTTTAGGGGAGGTGTGAGTTGAAGTGTTGGAGTATGGATGAGGAGTGTAGGAGTCACGTAGGAGGACTTGGAGTGGGGGGAGGTTTTGTGGGATATTAGAGTGGGGGATTAGGGAGGGGCGGGATGGGGGGGGTGTTGAGGGGGGGGGGAGGAATATGTGTTAGGAGAATATGGTTGTTAGGTTGGGGGGATGGGTGATAGTGAGGGAGGGTTTGGGTTTTTATAAATGATGGTATAAGTAATAGCGTGTGGAGGGGGTTGGAAAGTTATTGTTGTAATTGGGTGGTTTGGGATGATATTTGGAGATTTTTGGGGTTGAGGTGGTTGTGTGGTGGTAGGGGATAGGTAATTTGGGGTGAGTGAATGTTAAGATGGGGATGGGGAGATATGTGGGGTTAGATTGGTGTAGAGAGATGGGGATGAGTTTGTGTAGGTTGGGGAGTTGGTGTAATTTGTGATTGTTGAGGTGTGTGGTATGTAGTGGAAAAGGGGGTAGGGGGATGAGGATGTGGGTTGGGGGGGAATTTAATAGGTTTTGTGTGGTATGGGAATGAAATGTAATGGTGGTGTTGATGAGTATTTTTATAGGTTGTGGTATTTGTTTGATTTTTTTTATATGTTTGTTGTGTTGTATGGGGTGGTTTGTGATTGGTGTATAGGAGTAGGTTGTTAGTATTTTGAAAGATGGTTGGGGGGGTGAGGGATAAGGTAAAGTGGAGTGGATTAATAAGGGATTTTGGGAGTTTGAGGATGGTGGGATGTGTTTGATTGTAAAAATGGTTTGGAGGGGTTGTATGGGGGAGGTTTTATGTGTTAGTGGATAAATACTTAGGGGTTGTATGTATAGTACTGTATTGGTATGCAGGTTTTGTAGTCTTTGAGTAGATGAAGGTTATGTCGGATCTTGGGATGGTGTTTAGTCTTGTTTTTACCGCCGGTGGTGTACAACAGAGATGTTACTCGGCTCTGGATAACATTAAGTAAAAGTTAGTCAGGTCGTCCTCCTCCCACACTTCGTGCAGTACTATTACAGCTGGCCACTGAGCAGAATAACTAGACGCACTGTTACACACTGCAATCTTATTATCAGTGTTAACACATCTCATATCAACACTGTCCTCAACTAGTGATACTACACTACTAGTGACATCAGTAGTAACTATACCTATATCAGAATAATTTAATCCATCCGTAACACACAATATATCTAATTCATTATTAAATACATGCATAATACTAGTAACATTGTAATCATGAAATACATGTATGACAGGTAATGTACCGTGTATGAAGTGTCCTTGTAATTGTGTAGGTAAAATCATATCTAATACATCAGGTATTCCTGAATATATTTCTCTTAATTGTTCTCGTATTACACATGAGATGTCTGATAAATCACATGTGTTTCTAAGGCTCATTGATAAACGTACCAACTGAGTGGATGATAGTTTGAAAGTTATCATTCTTAGTTTGTCAATGATTCCCTGTTTATCCACATAATAATAACCCTGTGCCATGTCACATGCAACCATGACAGTGCACTCTAATAATAACAACTTGTCCATCAGTACACTACACTCCTCAGTTTCACTGCAATACAATAAATCCTGTATATCATCGATAAATATGTGACAGTTGGTCACAGCACTGATTGTATCAATTAACTTCTGTCTATCCCAACGTGTTATCTCTACAATGATAACTTTACACTCACTCTCTGATATTAGAGTAACTAGTTCTGTGACGTCAGACATGCTGGTCTCTTGATATTCTACATCAGCATTCTTTAATGCACGCTGATAAAGCTGACAGTTGTTACCATCACCGCCGAATTTGAATAACACAACTTTATTGTCCACATTAAGTTGTACAAGTTTGATTATTCGACCGCAAAGTATCACACTTTTCCCTGCTCCAGCGGGTCCATTAATCCACAACAGATTCTCGCTTGATTTGAACGCTTGATATTGTTCTGCTGTCAGGTTATCCACTTTAACGAAGTTTCTGATAACATCAGGAGCTGTTACAACTCCAGGATTCTCTACAGAATTCTTCCCTTTTTTTGGTAAAAATGTAAATTTTCCTGATTTGAGCCGTTCATTAATGTTTAATATGCAGTTTGTTAAACTACATTTCGATTGATCGTAGTTTTTATCGGTAGCCCAGATAGCAAGTAACATATTTCTAACTTTCTGAAAGGCATCATGATTAATTCTTGTATCTTGAGCTATTGTTGCGTTGTTATTCCACCAAAAACCAAAACTTGATAAGTCCTCATGAAATATCACTGTTGATAATTCTGAATCGCTTAGCTGAAGTTTTGTATCTTCACTAGCCTGGAACTGTCCTTTAAATTGTTTACTGAAATTAGGATACGCAGTGAACTGACGGATAGTTGTGTCCTTTTCTATACATTGAATCAAATATTCTATCTTCTTTCTCTGCTCAACTGACTTTTTGAACGTACCAGATAATGCTCGGAAGTGCTCTTCCTTGTCAACCGCAACATCATCGATTTCAATGTGCGACATGTTCTTAACTTCGATTATAACAATGGAGCCTGGACATAAAATTAAAAAATCACATTCCCCTTCCTTATTCGACGAGTTCTTGCACCCTTTGCACGTCTTTTTGTCCCGCAAATGACTCTGATCACACAAACAATATTGGTGGTGCGTGAATTCAAAGTTATGAAGAACGACGATCTTACCGTCCGGTAATTTCTCCAATGCCCTATACACCATAACTTCGGCCTCATAATCAGACTGACGTTTTCGTTGGTCTCTGAAACCACTACTTTCCGGGTACCTGTCTATATACGTCTGTTCTGGAGCTCTTGGCAGCATAGTGGGTCGTTTGTCATCAGAGGTGCAGAACTTGAGGAATATTTCTTGTCCGTTCTTTAAATAGTTGTCCATTGTTCAGCAAATCAAGATATTCTGAGATAAATTAAACTGTTATATAAGTTTAAATTTTTACTTGTCGCAACAACCGGGATAAAGATAATTTTACACAGAATACACTTTAAAGCTATATGTAGTAATCATAATTTGTAAATGAGATGAGGCACCAGGTGTTCAGGATAAAGTACGGGTTTCATTTTGATTAGGAGGACTGGGGAGTTGTGAGGGGTTGAGTATTACGTACATATTATTACCTTAATATTGAAGATAAATGTTGATCTTTAGTAGGAAAATATCGGAAACGCAGCTTAATCTCTGACCGGACTCTGGTACCAAAAAAATAATATCCTGTCAATTATTGCGAGCAATGTAGTTCATTTTTTGATAAGATTGGACTACTGATGTGTGATCTGGATTATTTTAAATTATTGTTTAGGATGAAGAATGAGGAGCCGTATAATAGGGATGACTATTAGTCTAAATTCAAGACTTATATTGGAATATCAACTTCAAGATCTTGTAAAACAGTCAAGTGCTAGTAAACATACATATTCTTACCTTGATATTCAAGGTCGAGGTTGTTCTATTTCTAATTTAGAAAGAAATTGGAATACGCTGCTTGATCGCTGACCGGATTCTGGTACCTAAAATACAACATCTTGTTACTCACTGAGCACTGATACGAGCACTGATACGAGCAGGTTAATCATTTTGTGATTGAATATCATGCAATACAAATGCGAACATAACATAACAGTTTTAACGAGCGGGGGATATATCAGGTCTTCTAACTCGCGGGCTGCGAGGGCGTGCTGGTGCAAATATAGCCCGCTGGTGGATATACTATACATATTGCATGACGTTTTAACTCAGAATTTGACTCAACATATTTGATAACACCTACCAAATTAATATCGACGCTGCGGATAATTAAGTTGGTAAATCAGAGGAACACAATGAAAAAACGAGGGTTTACAAACTAGAGAGAACAGAGGGTTGATCACACGACATTATTAGATTATAGATGTAGAGTAATGTAATGAAATGGATGAGTCACCGATCACGTGGTACTGTCACATGGTGTCACGTGGTACTGTCACGTGGTGTCACGTGGTGCTGTCACATGGTGTCACGTGGTGCGCTGCAATGAGTTTCAGGATATCATGTTACTCTGCAATCTCTGCTAGAATGTGGGTTCTACAAATAGCAGTAGTACTAAAAATTATGTCATCTTTAATCATGTTTTCTCACAACTGATCGTGGCCATGAGTTTATTATTATCAATTATGATGAATTGAAATCTTGCGTGAGTCAGATTGTTATGTACATCCTGAGCTGAGTTAATGCTGTTAAATCCTGTGTAGATGCTGTGTCAGTAGCTGTATCACTGCACGTGTAGCTAATCTACTGTTAAATCCTGTGTAGATGCTGTGTCAGTAGCTGTATCACATGTAGCTAATCTGCTGTTAAATCCTGTGTAGATGCTGTGTCAGTAGCTGTATCACGTGTAGCTAATCTGCTGTTAAATCCTGTGTAGATGCTGTGTCAGTAGCTGTATCACGTGTAGCTAATCTGCTGTTAAATCCTGTGTAGATGCTGTGTCAGTAGCTGTATCACGTGTAGCTAATCTGCTGTTAAATCCTGTGTAGATGCTGTGTCAGTATCTGTATCACGTGTAGCTAATCTGCTGTTAAATCCTGTGTAGATGCTGTGTCAGTATCTGTATCACGTGTAGCTAATCTGCTGTTAAATCCTGTGTAGATGCTGTGTCAGTAGCTGTATCACGTGTAGCTAATCTGCTGTTAAATCCTGTGTAGATGCTGTGTCAGTATCTGTATCACGTGTAGCTAATCTGCTGTTAAATCCTGTGTAGATGCTGTGTCAGTAGCTGTATCACGTGTAGCTAATTTGCTGTTAAATCCTGTGTAGATGCTGTGTCAGTAGCTGTATCACGTGTAGCTAATCTGCTGTTAAATCCTGTGTAGATGCTGTGTCAGTAGCTGTATCACGTGTAGCTAATCTGCTGTTAAATCCTGTGTAGATGCTGTGTCAGTAGCTGTATCACGTGTAGCTAATCTGCTGTTAAATCCTTTGTAGATGCTGTGTCAGTAGCTGTATCACGTGTAGCTAATCTGCTGTTAAATCCTGTGTAGATGCTGAGTCAGTATCTGTATCACGTGTAGCTAATCTGCTGTTAAATCCTGTGTAGATGCTGTGTCAGTAGCTGTATCACGTGTAGCTAATCTGCTGTTAAATCCTGTGTAGATGCTGTGTCAGTAGCTGTATCACGTGTAGCTAATCTGCTGTTAAATCCTGTGTAGATGCTGTGTCATTATCTGTATCACGTGTAGCTAATCTGCTGTTAAATCCTGTGTAGATGCTGTGTCAGTAGCTGTATCACGTGTAGCTAATCTGCTGTTAAATCCTGTGTAGATGCTGTGTCAGTAGCTGTATCACGTGTAGCTAATCTGCTGTTAAATCCTGTGTAGATGCTGTGTCAGTAGCTGTATCACGTGTAGCTAATCTGCTGTTAAATCCTGTGTAGATGCTGTGTCAGTAGCTGTATCACGTGTAGCTAATCTGCTGTTAAATCCTGTGTAGATGCTGTGTCAGTAGCTGTATCACGTGTAGCTAATCTGCTGTTAAATCCTGTGTAGATGCTGTGTCAGTAGCTGTATCACGTGTAACTAATCTGCTGTTAAATCCTGTGTAGATGCTGTGTCAGTAGCTGTATCACGTGTAGCTAATCTGCTGTTAAATCCTGTGTAGATACTGTGTCAGTAGCTGTATCACGTGTAGCTAATCTGCTGTTAAATCCTGTGTAGATGCTGTGTCAGTAGCTGTATCACGTGTAGCTAATCTGCTGTTAAATCCTGTGTGGATGCTGTGTCAGTAGCTGTATCACGTGTAGCTAATCTGCTGCAGCTCATTTAATAGATAACGTATTCTACGTCTGATATTACACCAACCGAACCGTCAGTATTATTATTGCGAAACTCACTCCCCTACGTCATCACTACAAAGGTGAAATATTGATATGAAGAGAATTGTGAAATGAGTGCTTTTGCAGTGCCCAAGATGGCATTAGAGTTTACTTTAAGTTACAATGTTTGCTTATATACAGTGTATAATGTTGTTCTATAATAATACAATGTACATTCATAGTGTAGCCATTTACTTCGTTGGAAATCTCCAATTCTGGACAAGAATGGTATGGCACCTCCCAACAAATATTATATGTTAATTATGCCTCGTTACGTATATCTACATAATGCAAGCGAGATGAATTATGCCTCGTTACGTATATCTACATAATGCAAGCGAGATGAATTATGCCTCGTTACGTATATCTACATAATGCAAGCGAGATGAATTATGCCTCGTTACGTATATCTACATAATACAAGCGAGATGAATTATGCCTCGTTACGTATATCTACATAATGCAAGCGAGATGAATTATGCCTCGTTACGTATATCTACATAATGCAAGCGAGATGAATTATGCCTCGTTACGTATATCTACATAATGCAAGCGAGATGAATTATGCCTCGTTACGTATATCTACATAATGCAAGCGAGATGAATTATGCCTCGTTACGTATATCTACATAATGCAAGCTAGATGAATTATGCCTCGTTACGTATATCTACATAATGCAAGCGAGATGAATTATGCCTCGTTACGTATATCTACATAATGCAAGCTAGATGAATTATGCCTCGTTACGTATATCTACATAATGCAAGCGAGATGAATTATGCCTCGTTAAGTATATCTACATAATGCAAGCGAGATGAATTATGCCTCGTTACGTATATCTACATAATGCAAGCGAGATGAATTATGCCTCGTTACGTATATCTACATAATGCAAGCGAGATGAATTATGCCTCGTTACGTATATCTACATAATGCAAGCGAGATGAATTATGCCTCGTTACGTATATCTACATAATGCAAGCGAGATGAATTATGCCTCGTTACGTTTATCTACATAATGCAAGCGAGATGAATTATGCCTCGTTACGTAAATCTACATAATGCAAGCGAGATGAATTATGCCTCGTTACGTATATCTACATAATGCAAGCGAGATGAATTATGCCTCGTTACGTATATCTACATAATGCAAGCGAGATGAATTATGCCTCTTTACGTATATCTACATAATGCAAGCGAGATGAATCATGCCTCGTTACGTAAATCTACATAATGCAAGCGAGATGAATTATGCCTCGTTACGTATATCTACATAATGCAAGCGAGATGAATTATGCCTCGTTACGTATATCTACATAATGCAAGCGAGATGAATTATGCCTCGTTACGTATATCTACATAATGCAAGCGAGATGAATTATGCCTCGTTACGTATACCACATAATGCAAGCGAGATGAATTATGCCTCGTTACGTATATCTACATAATGCAAGCGAGATGAATTATGCCTCGTTAAGTATATCTACATAATGCAAGCGAGATGAATTATGCCTCGTTAAGTATATCTACATAATGCAAGCGAGATGAATTATGTCTCGTTACGTATATCTACATAATGCAAGCGAGATGAATTATGCCTCGTTACGTATATCTACATAATGCAAGCGAGATGAATTATGCCTCGTTACGTATATCTACATAATGCAAGCGAGATGAATTATGCCTCGTTACGTATATCTACATAATGCAAGCGAGATGAATTATGCCTCGTTACGTATATCTACATAATGCAAGCGAGATGAATTATGCCTCGTTACGTATATCTACATAATGCAAGCGAGATGAATTATGTCTCGTTACGTATATCTACATAATGCAAGCGAGATGAATTATGCCTCGTTACGTATATCTACATAATGCAAGCGAGATGAATTATGCCTCGTTACGTATATCTACATAATGCAAGCGAGATGAATTATGCCTCGTTACGTTTATCTACATAATGCAAGCGAGATGAATTATGCCTCGTTACGTAAATCTACATAATGCAAGCGAGATGAATTATGCCTCGTTACGTATATCTACATAATGCAAGCGAGATGAATTATACCTCGTTACGTATATCTACATAATGCAAGCGAGATGAATTATGCCTCTTTACGTATATCTACATAATGCAAGCGAGATGAATCATGCCTCGTTACGTAAATCTACATAATGCAAGCGAGATGAATCATGCCTCGTTACGTATATCTACATAATGCAAGCGAGATGAATTATACCTCGTTACGTATATCTACATAATGCAAGCGAGATGAATTATGCCTCGTTACGTATATCTACATAATGCAAGCGAGATGAATTATGCCTCGTTACGTATACCACATAATGCAAGCGAGATGAATTATGCCTCGTTACGTATATCTACATAATGCAAGCGAGATGAATTATGCCTCGTTAAGTATATCTACATAATGCAAGCGAGATGAATTATGCCTCGTTACGTATATCTACATAATGCAAGCGAGATGAATTATGTCTCGTTACGTATATCTACATAATGCAAGCGAGATGAATTATGCCTCGTTACGTATATCTACATAATGCAAGCGAGATGAATTATGCCTCGTTACGTATATCTACATAATGCAAGCGAGATGAATTATGCCTCGTTACGTATATCTACATAATGCAAGCGA